TAAGAGCGGGCAGGAAGACTGCCCCTTCCCGGGATGAATAAAGAAACAAGCCGACGTCTAGAAACTGGTGGAAGAATTACCACGAACGTGACAGCTATCGAGTTCAAATCACCCATGACTCTGCATTTCGGTTCATGTGAACATCTTGGTCTCAGCAAACTCTAGGCTGGATGGAGGCCAAAAGCCTGGGCCAAGATCAGCTAGCTCAAAGAGCTGATCTTTCTATCAGCTTTCAGGAAAGATTGAAGCTAATGGCGACAGTTCAATGAAGCAAATCATAAGCCAGGACAAAGCCTGGACCAATAGAATCAAGGGAACAAGGTCTAGCCAAAACAGTAGCTGCTACAGGGATCTGCTGGGCTCATTAAATTCAAGTGCAGAGAGGTCAGTTCAGAAGATTGTGCTCCTTTTTGTTTGTTTGTTTGTTTCAGGTTCCAAAGGTGTAATCCTGAGAGATTTTCCTGAAGGACACCACAGGACACAGGACAGTCGCTGGGAAGAAGCCTTAAGGAAATGGAAAACTGCACTGAGGAGAAGAGGCCAGGAACGTACACCAAGGACTTGTTTCCTAGTCTGACAACGCACCTGCTCGCCATTCTTCGAGGGCAGTAGGAGCTGTGCTACCAGACTTTTGTTGGGAAACTACCCCATTCACCCACGAGCGCTGATCTCACCCCTTCAGACTTCTTTTTGCTCCCCAAACTCAAAGAACATTTCAAAGGAACATGATCTGAGTCCCTGGAGGATGCCAAGGGCTTTTTAGTGTGCTGTATGCAAATTGAAGAGCCTGTAATTCTTCAGAGCAGGGTTAGAGAGATGAAAATTCCACCTTCAGTTTAGAGATCTAATGGTGGATGTGCCAAGAAACAATAGCTTCACATTTTCATACTTTTATTTAATAAAGGTTTCTGTGATTCTGCCTTGTTTACCACTGTAGTCGGGCAACATGACAGGTACAAAGACTTAATGAGCCATTTAAAATACTTGTTGAATGAAGAAGATTCATTATTAACGGAGCATCTGAAAAATTCAGGCCCTGGCCCCGGGCTGTACATACAACAAAGGAGGAGATCTAAGACAAGATTTCTGGTGTCGTAGCAGGTTATGAGTCGAGTTACTAGCTCCAAGGTCCGAAGCTCAAAACCACCAGCTGTTCCACCATGAGCAAAATGGGGCTTTCTACTCCTGCTAAAAGTTCTAGCCCAAGAGACCCACAGAGGCAGTTCTACTCTGTCCTCTAGGGTCACTGTGATTAAGAGTTGACTAGAAGGCAGAGAGCTTTTTGTTGTGATTGTTTTGGTTAGATTCATTGAACATTCAACACAAAAATCATTGTCCTTGATTTCTTGGCAAATAAAATGGCAGGGACCGAGAGAGCTGCAGCAGTTTGAAGAGGGGAGTGCTCAGATTGGAGAAGGTTTACTAAACTGGTAGAACATCACAGAGGCACTGAAGGATCTCAAATGTTAGATCCAAGGAGCGTGAGTGTAACTGAGGCACAGGGTTGGGCGGTGAGGGACCACTGGACACCCATTACCACTGAGTGGATTCCAACTCATAATAGTCACCCTTTCTGTATAGGGCCCTAAGCAAGAGAGTCAGATGATGGTGCTGGGCTTTATTTAGGTGGCCAGGGAAAGTTACAGCCCAGTGTCTTCTTGCCCCTGGGGTCTGCACAGGGCCCTCTACCTGGAGGTCACCTCCTCGTGGACATTCTGCAGGGCTTCCCGGATGTGCCTGGGAGTCGGCCTGGCTGCAGTGACACAGGCATTGGTCTGGAGGTCCGTCGATTTCTTCAACACCTGCCCGTAGTAAGTCTGACCCAGGGGCCAGGAAGGGTAAGGGGTGGGGAGGGCAAAGAAGAGGTCGTGGGAGCTGGGGTCAGCTTGGCAAAGGCGCCCTATGGCTGCCCCACCCCCAGCCTGCTCTAAGCTCAGGTCCTGCTTTCGCGGGTGAGCTGAGCTGAGCTGAGCTGGGCTTCTGCAGGCCTCACTTCCGCCGTCCCAGGCCTGGCTGCTCTTACCTGCACGTTCTTCCAGATCTCGGCGTCGCTGGGGGCAGCCACTGCAGAGAAGCGGGAATGGGGGGGTCAAAGGGCGGGCGCGCGAAAGGACGAGCACGGAGGTACACAAGGATAAGAGAGGCCATGGGGGAGGGAGCACTTTGCAGGTGGGGGCTAGCAGGGGCCCGAGGAGCAGTAACCTGCCCTGGGGGGCGCGCACTCACTGTCTCCACGTCTCCACACTCAGGATTTGGGCGTCCTGCACAGCTCCTCAGGCCCCGCCCACGGGTAGGCGGTTCCAGGCCCCGCCCTCGAGTGGGCGGTTCCCAGGGCCCCGCCCTCCCATAGGCGGGCCTGATCCCCAGCAGGTGGTCTCTGTCCTCCTGCTTCCATTCGTACTTCCGCCCGCCCAGCTGTGAAATACGACGCCCCGGGGCAGTCCAATCACCTGTCCCTGCCTCTGCAGCCCTGCAGGGGCTCCGGGTAACTTGGTTGCCTTTAGCCTTTCCAACCAGCAACAGGTACTTAGCATCCTCCTTTATTTACTACACGTTGACATGGAGCTGCCTGGAATTCACGCCAGATTCAGAAGCGGAATGAGGGATACCAGTGCTGGTGTCAGATGGATCTTGGCTGAAAGCAACTTTATGTAGATAAAGCAATTTTCTCTATAGAAAACACCTTTCTCTCTCTCTCTCTCTCACTTACACACACACACACACACACACACACACACACACACACACACACACTAGAGTTGTTTGACCTTATTAGCAGATAAAATTATTTGGTAGACCTCTCTTCGCATGACAAAGAATTCACGCTGAAGCCTGGTTTGTGATTTGTTTCCCCCTGCCCCCCACGTCTTACACTGACCGATGTCTCTCTTCACCCG